TTGATTACTAAGAACACATTCTAATCCAATTTTTCCTTTTTCATATCTTTCTAGGACCCTTTTTAATTGGACTATTTGAAACGAGAGTGACTGATATTTAGTGCATGCAAAACTCTTAATTAATTTTTCTTTTTCATCTTTAAAATTATTTTCCGTTTTCTCAATGTTTTCTTCCAAAGATGATATTTGTTTCTTTTGAGATAAAATATTTTTATATAGAATTTTGCACTCACTTAAAAGTTCGTCAATTGCTCCTTGAGCACCATTATCAAAAATAGAGAAATCACTACTAACCTTATTGTCTTCATCGTCAGAACAATGTGATGGCATCAATGCTAGATTTGCGCTTTGATCACTATTGGAGTCCAATGAAGAACTTATTTCGTTGTCATCCCAAGCAATGTAGGCTTTCTTTTTAAAGTCCTTATTTCCTCTGTGGTCATGATTCTTCGTGAGTTTAGGACATTCTGGTTTGATGTGGCCTTTCTTTCCACATTCATAGCATGTAATGTCTTCATTTGATGTTGATGTTTCTTTTTCTTTATTCTTTGAGAACTTCTTTCTTCTTGTATAACTTGAGTTTCTAACATTATTCTTTGCACCAAAATATTTTCCAAGTCTTTTTACAAGAAGCGTAAAGTTTTCTTCCTCTTCGAGATTGTCTTCTTTCTCCACTTCTTTTTAAGGCAATGCTCTTGGATTTCTTTTCTTGAATTTATGTTTCTTCAATCGTCCAAGTTCTGTTTCATATTCTTGGAGTTTTCCGAATAGCGTAGCAGATGTCATTGTTGATAGACTTTTATTTTCGAAAATTGCTGTCACCTTAGGTTGCAATTCTCTTGATAAAGACCTAAGCACTTTAAGATTAAGTTCATCATTTGTTAGTGTCTTACCAAGTGCATTCAAGTGATTTGTCAAATGCACGAATCTTTTCTGCAAGTCTAGGATAGATTCTTTTGGTTGCATTTTGAATAATTCGTACTCTTGACTCAAGGTATTTAGTCTGGATCTTTTGACTTTAGCGGTTCCTTCACGAGTTTCAACAAGAGTGTCCCAAATTTTCTTGGCCATTGAACAAGTCGAGATACGGAAGAATTCATCCATTCCAAGTGCACTTTGTAAAATATTTATCGCCTTTTTTCATAGAGAACTTTCTTCTTATCATCATCATCCCATGATCCTTGCGGTTTTGATGAGCCGACTCCGTTGACCACCGTTGTAGGAACAAATGGATCATTTTGAACAACCTCCCATAGTTCACTTCTTGTGCTTCTAGATGTGCCTTCATGCGGATCTTCCAGAAGTCGAAATATTCGCCACAAAACAAAGGAGGCTTGTTGCTACTGCCACCGTCTTTGAATACAAGATTGTTATTTGCGGAAGCCATCTAGATCGAATAGGAACAGGTTACCTATAACCCGCTCTGATGCTAATTGTAAGTTGTAAATGCGCCTAAGAGGGGGGGAGGTGAATTAGGTTCTAAAATAAATTTATTTGCAATCTTGTTCGGTTCTTGGTTCTTTTTCGGTTATGGTGTTAGAACTTGAAAGTAAAGTGCAGGAAAGAAAAAGAAACACAAGAAGTTTATAGTGGTTCCCCTCATACTCCAAGAGTACTCCACTCCCCTTTCGACACGAAAGAGATTTCACTATAGTTTAGAATTATTGCACAGCCTAATCACAACAATGGTGAAGCCTACTATCTAATCTATAGGTAATCCAAGTGTATGAAGAACAATCCTCTTCAAACACTTCACTTGTTTCTAACAATCCTGGATAACAAGGTAGTACACAATTATCTTTGAAAAAAGTTTGTAATTTGATGGAATGATATTATCAATCTTCACGATCGATCTTCTTCTTGAAACAAATATTACTCAAATAAATATACAAGTGTTCTTGTGATAGAAATTGAAATGAAGTTGTGATAGTGTGAAAGTTTATTCAATGACTTCTTTCAAAAATGTTTTTGAACATTTAGAGTGAAAATTTGAAGGATGAAGAAAGTGAGTAATTTTATTGATTTTGTTTCTTGAAGGTGAATTGGAATTTTAAATTAGATAACAATTTATACTGATCAAAAAATCTTTTCAAAAGGGTGTGATTTTGTGCAGCAAGAACAGTCAAACATCAAAATGGAGACCAATGCATTTTTTCATGAAAAGCTACCATTTTTGCTTGCTGTTACAGTGTTAATCGGTTAACCAAGTGGGTTAATTGGTTAACACCTTACAACGTTTAAAAATATTCAAAATTCACACCTGTTAATCGGTTAACCATATAGGTTAATCAGTTAACACTGTAAGTATGCACCAGAAAATTAATTTTGAAATGTGTTAATTGATTAACACTAAAGATTTTCCAAAAACAGAATTAATTTTAAAGTGAGAGAGCTTTTAAAAAGTGTTTTAAAAGTGTTTGTGATATATCTGAAGTTAGATTTGAAATTATGAACACTTGTATAGATATTTTCAAGTAATATTTGTTATACCTTTGCTTAGAACATTGTCATCACTTGAAACTTGTAAGAGAAGCTTTGATCCATAGTAGACATATGCGAGAGCACTATCTTGATCTTTGATGCCCTTGTTGTTTACTTGATTCGCTAACTTTTTGCGTAGTATATATTGCGTAGAAAGTTTGTTCTTGTTGTCCTCATCAAAACTTTAATGGCTTGGAGCTTGCTTCTACTGATACCACATCAAGAAACAAAAGTTTTTAATAAAGTAATATGTAATATATTAAAGCAATATATTTTATGTATGGGAAATAGAGGTGGAAATTGGATTCATTAAGGCAAAATCCATCCAATCCATTTATCAAAAAATCCATCAAATTAATCCACCATATATAAAATAAATTAATGGATTGGATTAAATACATCCATTTATATGCATGGATGGATACAATTCATCCAACATATTTTAAGGATCCAATAGATTATTTTTATTTTCGTGAGATTTATTTTTTTAAAAGTAATTAAAAATAGATTTTTTTAAAGAAAATAATTAATTTTTTTCAAAAAAAAAGTCGATTTTTTGTTCGAAAAAAATTGATTTTACTTTTTCGAAAAAAATTGATTTTTTTGGGGAAAAAACAATTTTTTTCCGAAACAAAAAACCAAAATTTTTAAATAAAAAACAGATTTTCTTCCCCAAAAAAAGAACAGATTTTTTTAAAAAAAATTAAAATATCAATTTTTTGGAAAATACAAAAAATTCAAATTTTTCCAAAAAAAAAACCAATTTTTTTTTTGGAAAAAAAACTAATATTTTTCAAAAATTAAAATTTTTTTTTTTTAAAATACAAAAAATAAAATTTTCAAAAATAAAATAAAATCAATTTTTTAAAATAAAAAAAATACGTTTATTTTTTTAAAATAAGAAAAAAGTTGGATGAATGAATATTCATTCATTAACGAATGTATTTGATGGATTTTGTTTTTAATGGATGAATTTGATTATATAATTTTAAGAAGATTTTAATAAATTATTAATGAATTATGAATTATTTTGATTCATCTAATTCATTCATTTGTCACCTTTGATGAAAAATATATTTGTGTATAGCAATATGTAATATATTAAAAATAATTGATTATACAATTTTTTTATAATGTTTACGTACAGGAAGTAAAGCAATATTATGTATGTGAAATTACTTTGTTTTAGTTTAATGTATTCTATTATATGCATGTAAAACAAAATTGAGTTTGAAAGAAAATGTTTTATGTTTTTTCAGTTATCAATTAACACGAGGGATTGATTAAAGTAAAGTGCATATCAGTATTATATTATATAAAATACACAAAACAAGTAATATCAATCACATTCATTCATTATTTTGTAAGATTGTTTCAACACAATATTACCACTCATGAATTTTATATATAATTCAAAATACAGTAAATTCATATTTATGATTTTCACAATTCTATACATTTGTAGAGAAAAGCAATAAAGCGTATTTAGAACAATGATGTTTATTCTCGTTAGATTTTTAATTTTTTTATTTGAGTTTTTTATTTTTCCGTTTGATACATGAACGGAACTCTTGGTTGTCATTATTTGCAATACTTTTAAGATTGTTAGAAATATCGGTAAAATTGAATGGATCCAAAACTGAATTGTGAATGATGTTATTTTCTTTAAAAGTATTTCAAACATTTTCTTGTATGTTTTAGAATTGGAATGCAAGAATACCCAAAATAATTCAGTCTTATCTCAAATTTGCGCAAGATCGACGAAAATTCGATTTGTAACAAAAAGTGTTTGGAATTTGTACAAGAGAATTTTCGATTTGTGATATGATTTTCTGAATTTCGGAATGAAGTATTTATAGGTCATGTATGTGTTGTTTGACAGGGTTGTAACCTTTGATGAAACAACATCTTTTAACCAAAAGTTACATTGTTTCCACTTTTCTTTAGAGCTGTCAAGATGGGCCAAACTCATTGGGCCAGTTTATAAGCTCTAAATTTTAGCACGGACCGGACCATAAAAAAATATTTAAAAAATACAACCCTATCTTTTTGGGTCAGCCCATCGAGCCGATGTTTTTTATGGGCTGGGTCGGGCCAGTCAAACGAACTTTGTGTTGGCCTGTTAAAAATATTAAAAAATAATAATTTGTTTTGATAAAAACAATTAGAAAACTGCTTTTATTAATTTTGAGGAGGAATTGGGCTAAAATATGTTTTTGCTAAGGTTGGATGTGTGTACTAGATGAAATGTCACATATAGGATTCTTGAAAGTGCTATTAGATATCGACGTACATTCATTAGCTTGACTTATAATGATAAAAAATATAATATTTGTCCAAGCATTGAAAAGTGGGATAGAGCATAGAACATTTGCAATTCCTTGGCTCCATTTTATAATATTACTAACTTAATTTCTAGATCATCTTACCCAACCTCAAACTTACACTTCATGCAAGTTGGACTTATAGAGATAAAATTGAATAGAAATTTGAAAAATCAAGATGATGTGATCAAAGATATGGCTAAGGGGAAGAAGGAAAAGTTTGATAAGTATTGGAGTGAATATTCTGTTACTCTTGCATTTGAAAATGTTCTTGACCCAACATCAAAGTTGGAATTTTTGAACTTTTGCTTTAAGAAACTTGAACCAAGTGGCTATGAAGACAAGGTATAGAAAATGAATGATGGTTTGTATGATATTTTTGGTGCATATCAAAATAATATGGCTGCAACAAGCTCATCAAGAAATACTCAATCTCACTCTTTTAGCCAACCATTAGGCAATACATCATTTTTAATAATAAAATTTATACTCATTACATTACTTTATTTTTCTCTTCAAGCCTAATTTAAATAGTTTTTTGCATGTCTAATTTTAGGAATACCATCAAGAAAAGATACAAAATATTTCAAATGATAGACTTGAAATATACCTGGATGAAAAATGTTTGGATGATATTCTTCAATATGAGAAATTAAATAGTGTTCAATTTCCTCAACTTGCTATAATGGCTTGTGAAATTTTAAGCATTTCAATCACAACAGTGCCGAGGTCATATTTTGCATAAATATAGAAATTGCTTACTCCCTGAAACATTGCAAGTATTAATTTGTACAGGTAATTGATTGCAAGATTTTAAAGATGTTGGACCTTCAGGTGAGTTTTAAATTGTAATTAATACTCTTTGTATTTTATTTTCTTGTTTTCAAGTTATTGAGTTGTCAGTTAAGTTGTAACATTAGCAAGGACATGCATGAACCACAAGGTGATAGTTTAATGTTCACTTACTGCATTATAAATAAAAGGACTTAATAGAGAGGTAGAAACATATAAAAACACAACTACTTTACCATTTGTTAATATAATAATTCATAGAAAATAGACTTCAAAAGATTACCATAGTCTTGTTTCCCGACATTTATTTTCAAGTTATTGACTTATCATGTATTACGAATTACAGATATAGTAGAAGTGGAGGAGATACAATTGTTGGATTCACCAAGTGTTCAAGAGACTTAGATCATAATATTGTCTACTTCATAGTTTATTTTGTTATATATTTTAAATTATTAGGTGATTAATTATTTGGTTATGAATGTGTGAATGTATTCTATTGTCTTTAAAGTTACACTATGTGATAATTGTTGAATTCACAAGTGTTTATGGGACTTAGACACTTAGTCAAAAAATTGTCTACTAGATAATTTATTTTTATATCTAATTTGATTGGTTAGACGAGTAATTATTTTATTATGTGTGATTGTATTTTGTTGTCTCTAAATTTAAAAATTAAAATTATAATATTGAAATATATAGGCGGATTTAGTCCATCGGACAACACGACCCATAAAGAATTGAGTTGGATTCAATTTTGATAGTCTATGAAACAATTGAGTTGGACCACTGGTGCCCATTTGTAAGTGTTGGTCCATCAGACCAATACTGACTGAACCGAATGGACCCATTTAACAGCTCTGTTTCTTTTTTGTCATTTTAAACACAACTTCATAAATTACAATATATATTAATTTACAACATAAATTTAATATTAAGTTTTGCCAAACCCATATACAACCCCATTTAAGATATTTGTTAAAAATAATCTTTTTGTATCCATTCATAAGTTAATGAATGATGTAGTGGAAAACAAACTTATAAATCTATAAACTAAAGAGGTTAAATGAAAGTCAAAACTAACATCACTATCCTCTATCGTTTTAGACATAAATTAATTTTTTGAAATATCACACTGAAATATTGCTAATAAAATATGGGACATTATTCAAGTTACTAATGAAATACTACCAATTATTATGACAAACACATTAACCTAGGAATAAAATGAAAACTGAAAAAACTATTTAAGTTATGAGACTACCTCTAACAGTGGTTTTTCAAATTGATTTGTCAGCTTGACATTAAAATTGTCAATATGTTTCAGCTAGTGAACGTTACAAACCTAAGCAATGATTTTTCATTTTTTTATTATTAAAATAATCATTTAGCCGTTGTGCAACGGCTTTAATTTATTTTTTTTAATTTTTATTTATTTATTATAAATATAGGTTTGTTGGAAAAATTGTATACCAATCCTATTTTCTCTCACTTTTATTTACTCTTTAATTTTAAATTTCTCTCTCACAATTTCATCATTTTATTCATAAATATTTAATTTTTTCCCAACAATTTCTTCTCATTATCATTTTATTTCAAATTTTCATCTTTTTATTTCAAATTACATTTGTTTAGGTCAAATGGATTCTAATCATTTTCATTATCAACAAACTATGTTCAATTTCATGCAAAATTATCAAAATCCTAATTCTCAAAATTCTCAAATTCCATACGTACCACCAAACTCCGCCATGTTTTTTCCGTCACCAAACAATCCAAATATATATCAAAATCCTAATCTTCAAAATTCTCAAGTTCCACTATTTTCTACTCATGTTTTTTAATTATGTGATGTTATTTATTTTTATTGTTTTTAATTATGTGACATGTATTTAAATTTAATTTTAATTATTATTTTCAATTTTATGTTTAATTTTAATTTGATGTTTAATTTGTATTTATATTAATTAAAATTTAAATATTTAAATTATAATTTTAAATAAAATAAATTTAATATAAATAATATATTTTAAATAAAGTGGTGGGATCCAATATAGATTCTTTGGAGTTGCACTATTGAAATGAAAATTGAATGAGTTACTTTAAAAAAGTGGATCCCACAAAGAACTTAAAAATGAATTACATCATTGAAATTGCTCTGGAAAAACCTCAAACATGCCGAATTACGTAGGTCAACAAAGAATCATGTCATTTACTCTATTTTTATTTTTTTGTCTTAAATTTAATTGTTTGGACTTTTGTCTGAATACAGATTCTAAATTTGTCTTGGATGAACTTTTTATGTGTTGAATTATTTAGTTTGATTCTCATTGTTATATCTTTCATATACTCAACAATTAAAAATAAAAAATAAAATAGCAGCCGAATATATGATAAACTAGTTGATCAGAGGTAAACTGACTGATTCAATTATAGTATTTGATAAAAATGACGGTTGAACTAACTTGAAAATATAAAATAACAGAAAATATTTATTTTATACTTCTTTTCCATATACCAAAGTCTACGCTATAAAGATAAAATCTACATCTAATACATGATTAAAATAATACACCATAAAGATAAAATTCCGACAGTGAGGTCACAATAAAACATTACTTTATCTATCTTAAATTTTAAATTTTAAATTATAAGCGTTTTGATATTAGTTTAAAAATAAAATTATTTTATCTATCTTAAATTTTAAATTATAAGCCGTTTTGATATTCCTTTCAAAGTTAAACAAAATTTAATTAAATTTATATGAAAAATAATTCAGAATAACTGTATAAAATTCGTTTAAAAATATATGAGAAATAGAGATTGAATGAATTAGAGAAAGTAATAAATAATAGAAATATATATATATATAATAAAAAAGATAAAATAAAATTGTATTGATATTGGAAAATTATTTACAATTTATAACAAATTGTTTGTGCAAGTGATATATAATTTAATAAGAAATAATATTTTTAGCAATAGTAACTTGATTGATTCGGTGGTGATTAACGTTGAATTTAGAAAAAGCATTATGATTTGATCTCCCGCAACTACGATTGGGTGTAGCTGAAATCACTTGATTTTAGAACTGACCGAAAAAAAATAATATTTTTTTATGTAATTCTTTTCTCATCAATCAAATTAATCCATTTACATGCTTAAGAAATATACTTAAAAGTACAACTATTTTAATGTTCAAAAAGGCCAATCATTATAACCATACTTAATATTAAGAAATTAGATTGAACTTTAACTTATTCTTATAAAACCGTCTTGAAAGATGAAAATCGTCCATATTTAAAAAGACATGTTCAAATTATATATGATTTTAACACATATTCGATGAGACTTTAACACACACCTTCATACCTAAAACTAGACGTCAAGAGTGTGGAAATAAATGAAGAGTTATCCAATAACAGAAACCTGAATGCAGATAATCCACTGAATTTTAAACAAGACTCTAATACTTTGTTAAGAAATATGATTGACTATAATCCACTGGATTTTAAACAAGACTCTAATACTTTGTTAAGAAATATGATTGACTCTAACTCATCCCAACAAAACCAATTCGTAGACTGATGATTGCTCTCATTTCAGGTCATATATTGTCCAATATGAGATTCTTAACACTTAATATGCATCTTAGATCATGATTATCGGTAAAAGTATTCCCCTACAGTACCCAAAGTTACTAAGTTACGTAATAATATATTATAAACCAGTAGTATTAGAAGAATAACAGACATTGGTTTTGGCCATTGTGATTCTGACAGTGTTGAGCCACTCTTTCATATGGCATCTTCCAGTCAATGGTCAAATTATCTGCATCTTTCGTAATGACCTGAGAAATTGAAACTATGCCTTTGTACAGCAGAGAAGACTGAGGTTGAATACACTTATAGTAACAAACAGGAACTATTATTACAGTGTCAAAGCACTTGAAACACATGACAGAATACAATTTTTAGTTTCGCAGTGTCCAACTTTCTTGTTGTAATCAAGAATTAGTTAATAAAATGATTATTACTTCTATCATTTCAATAAGTGTACACCACTAACTGTCCGTTATTGTCTTAAAAGAGCATAAAAGAACATAGCTACATAAAGATATACCACTTTGCATTTGGCTACATGTTTGCCAAATAGTTGATGCAATTTCCAGATTGAAAATGAAGGTAATTGAGCTAGTTAATATTATTACACACCATCTCATAAAAGAAATCACCACAACAGCTAATAAACTTAACTAACAGGGTAATACAAGGGTTAAGCTTATGACATTTTAAATTACTTAGTATTACGGCGTTTACCGTACTCTTCAGCTCTTGCAACACCGTCCATAAAAACATCAATTGTCCAATCCTTTAAGTCCTCCTGTATACAAGAAAGGAAGAGACTTCAGCCACAAAATGAAATGCTTTTCTTGTGATTAATTTCATGGAAACACTCTTATGAGCTGAGCAAGTCTCACTCGTGTGTGTATAAAGTGAAAGGATCTGATTTTCTGTAATGTAAACATGTAAGATTAACATATGTTTTACCTAAACCTAATACGAATCAATCATGTAGAGTTACTACATGAATAAGATTAAACTCGTCTCAAACTCTATTAACTCCCTATAGATACTGACACTCGATGGCATTAGTCAGTCCAGTGAAAACATGTTAGGTCTAAAAGTGGAAGAATATCTAGTTACTGAGATGTCATCAACTATTAAACACCAACACAAACATTGTATACGACAGTAACTACAACATATAATCACCGATCCATCAGCATTGTCTCCAGTATGAATTTAGCAATAAAAATAAAAACAGGGAGGGAAAGATGGATACCAGGCGCAATGGTTCACCGGTTCTGATTCTAGAATTAGGACGGGAAAACTTGGATTCAAAAGGAGTTCTGGGCGGGAGTTCCCGAATCTTCTCCCACTCCTCACGGCTGAGCATTCTCACAGAGCCTTGACCCTCTGGAGAATTCTTTATCTTGCGTTCCAACAACTCTTGAGATCTAGAATCATCATACTGCCATACCATTACCACCCATTAATGACTAGTTTCAGTTAGTAATATGATCGAACAGGTGATGTGCACAAAAGAAGTTGAGCAAACAAAACCCTTACCATCATGAGGAGTTTGGCGAATATTGCAACGCCAACGGCAACGACGATCATGGGCATGGTGGCGGTATCTAGGTAGGATAAGGATTCGGGGACCGGAACGATGAACTGGTCCTTGGTTTTGGAACTCCTCATCTTCCTCTTCTTCTCCAATTCCAATGCCTTTCTCTTTAGTGATTCGGTTGGGACATGGACACGAAGCGTGTGTAGCAATCTTTGTCTTATTCCGTTCATCGATCAACCGATTTGTGAAACTGTTGTTTTCTTCCCAAAATCATGTTCATCTTACATTTTCAGGGGAGGACAAAATATATATGTTGCGTAAAGTCTGTGTAAAAGGACAATATCACCCTTCAACATTTCGTCGTCTTGATTTTAATTGCTGAAATAAATGAATAAAACACCTAATAAATCATTAAAATAAATTGTACAGAAATTCTAATAAAGATCAGTGTAGGAGATTGGGAAAGGTGATTATGTAATTCAAAGTTTTTCGTGATTATGTATCATAGGCCTCAACATAACACAAAATTTGCTTAAGAACAATCATGTTTTTCGTACTAGGTGCATGTTTGCGAAGACAAACTTGTCAAAACGTATAGGATATATCAGGTCTACTAAAAGTTAGATAGTTTAAAGTTCTTCCAAGACTACGATATAGGGATGAGGAGGTGTTGAGTTTATACTTGGTATCAATAAAAATGACTGACGATTTGAAGGATGCCATGCCAGCACATTTGAAAATCTTTTGGATATAAGTGTTTTGATTTAGAAAGATGCCACCTGGGTGACGAGATACAACAATACTCAAAAAATAACTCAGGGGCCTAAATCCTTTTGTGTAAACTCTAAAACTAAGAGTGACATAATTTAATGGCGAAGGATTTGAGTAGAGATGACAACGAGGCGGGGCGGGAGTTGGTTTAACTATACTTACACTCACAACCGCTCACGTCCCAAATCCAATCGGGAGTAAACATTTACCGCCCAGACCCGCCCCTAGTAGAGAACGGGTGCATCTGCCCCGCCCCCACCTGCAAAAAAAATAATTTCTTTTTAATTGCAATAAACATTAATAATTTAATTAAAAAAATAAATTATTTTAATAAATAAATTAATTATTTAATTAAAATTTTAATTAATAAATAAATGTTAATTTGATTAATTTAATTATTTTAATTACAATAAAGTATTAATAATTTAATTAAAAATATAATTAATAAATAAATATTAAAATAAGTAAAATAAGATAATTAAACTAAAATGCGTTATTTGGAGGAAGGGTGCGAGCGGATCTTAGTGTCTCACTGCACCCGCACCCGTAGTTAAGAATTGGGTTTTCCCCGCACCCGCACCCAATTAAATCGGATTTTCTCCGTTAATTTCGGGGCGGATGCGGGCGGGTCCGAGTATGTTCGTCATCCCTAGACATGAGTACAGGTAATGAGGATGATGTCGTCTACATAAAAAAGAATTTGGGCCATGTCAGAACTTTGTCGATATATGAAGAGTGAGTGGTCTCATCATTACTACAAAATAGACCTAACGCAATATGTTATTAGCTCGGTTATTAAGTCAACTGAAGTAATAGTTCTTATTTAGGCGCCTGCATTTTTATTTCTTTTATTAAAAGACATTTTACTATGGTCCATAGTAATAATTAGGGGTGGCAAACGGGTATGTTCGCCTCCTTTAGGCTCGCCCTGCAAAAGTCTGTAAAAAAACGAGACAGAAGAGGGCGAGCATAGTTGAGGATGCATGGCTAAAATCTGAGTTCTCTCGCAAAAAAAAAAGAGGGCGAGACGGAGAAAACCCATGGACACTACACCTTTTATGCCTAAAAACAGAAAAGTTTATATAATTGTTCGTGTCTGTAAAAGTTTGGGAACAAAACGGGACGGAGAGTGGCAGACACATTAGAGGGTGATGACCTAAACTCTTGACTCGCCCTTACTAAAGTGCGAAAAAAATGGACATGCTCAACGGTCCTGACCCGTTTTGCCGCCCCTAATAATAGCCGTAGTTATATGTTAAAGCTTACAGGCTTCGAATCCCAACACCGACAGTTTTCTATTTTTATTACAAAATGGATGTGTCATACTCGTGCTTTTGCAAGAGTAAATTTATTTAATATGACATAAATATATTTAGATACACATTTAAATTTATAATGGTTACTTAATTGTAAAATGAATAATGATCATATAAACTCAATTGTATTAAATAAATATACAAAAAAGAAGAAGAAAAAGATATTCGTGAAAATTAGAATTTTGCCTCTGAAATAAAGACGACTATTGATTAAAATAAAATAGACATTGTGTTGATAGTGATTCGTAAATTGAAACACAACATACTCTCTTCAATTATGGTTTGAAAATAAATTTGTTGTCTCTCAAATAAAACAACGGTTGGATTGTTAACATTATTGGTTGTTTGAACTTGTATTAAGTATTACTCAATTTGATAAAATAAATTATTGACTTTATTATAATTGAATCTAAAATGTATTGATATTCACATAAAAATTTGAAATGAGTTACTTAATTGTAAAATAAATAATGATCATATAAACTCAATCGTATTAAATAATCATACAAAACAAAGAAAAAAAACTGATTCGTGAGATGGAGAAAGAAAAAAAATAAAAAATTATATATTTGAAAATAAGGTTTTATGATGATAGTGACACATGAGATGAAAAATTAGTTGTATGATAAAATAAATTGTTAATTTTATTAAAATTTAAAAATAGATTAATTAATATTTTTAGAATAATAAATAAATAGAATTGATTAAATATGTTATAAAACTAAAAATAAAGTAAATTAAACTCATGTTTATATAACCTTAACTTAGCCAAAATGATTTTTTTATATAATAGCTATGTATTGTTTATTATGTACCATATTAATGAAACTTTCAAATGATTTTTCAAAATGGCCAACTTTCAGCAGTGTGTCGCCATACTGATTGGCGATATAGACAAAAGTTGAAAAATCATTTTCATCAAAGTCGCCAATCTGATTGGCGAAGAAGGCAAAATTGATTTAAATCGCCATCCCATATGGCGACATAGGTTGCGCATGTGTTTAGGGTTTTCTACTTTCAATTAATATTTTACTGTGTTTAATATGATTTTTTTTTTATATTTTTAATTTTGATTATTTTTTTTAATATGAATTATTATTATTATTTTAAACATAATTATTATTAATAAACTTAAAATAATTAAGTTTAAATGTTAAAATTAATTTGTTAATTAATAAACTTAAAATAATTAGGTTTAATGTTAAAATTATTTTTTTAATTAATAAACTTAAAATAATTAGGTTTAAATAAAAATAATTTCAAATTAGTTTAATAAATTTAGGTTTAATTAAAAATAAACTTAAACTGATTTAATAAATTTAGGTTTAAATACAAAATAAAAATATAGTGTTGATTTAATTTTGAGTGTAAAAATATAGTAAGAGTATTTAAGTCATATCATATGGGGTACGCATTATTTTTTTTTACTATAAATATGACTGCAAACACAGTTATGTTTTCACAATATTGTATCCCAAAAGACTGAAGCGTTAGTGCATTTTGAGTTGAGTGGAGCCTATAATGTCTGCATTTCTAAATAAACGTTCTTCGTCGTCGTCGTCATTAGCATCGGAGGAAGCCTTTCCAACGTTCGATCTAATGAAAAGAAATACCCTAGTTGCGTTTTCAGCAACAAAGCCTCCGATGAAGGTGCTTCTGTGGAATACGCAGATGTTGGAGCACTTGCACAGGGAACTGAACCGCTGGCTAGAATGAGATATTGCTCCAGGAGAAAAGATTAGGAAAATTGAGAGGTTGGTCGAGCAGACTGGGGGAAACGGAGTTACTCGTGAATGGAGAAAAGTGGAAAACGATGTCGGTGTCCTTGTGATGATGTTGACACCAAAGGAGATAAAGTTGATGATTATGATATCGTAGACACCTTGGTGCAGTGTTACGTTTTATGTTTTTACGTTGTTGTTATATTTGTTTAATTTATGTTGCCTTGGTGCAGTGTTTTGTCTTTATGTTGTTGTTATGTCAGTTAACTATGCTTTTAAATGAATGAAATTTGTTATTAATCGAATGAAGTTTGCTATTAATTGAATGAAATTTGCTATTGATTTAAAGGGACAAAATTACATATGAAACTATGATCTGCTGCTTGATCCTACGTTAGGACATTTTGTACGATTGTGTCCTGGTTGCCGACACGAACTACACAATCTCACCAGCTTGTCTGCGATATCCATCTCTGTTCGAATGCGCGTGCTGTTAAGCCGTCCCTTTTTCTTTCTGCGCATCAAGTCATTATGCCAAACAACTTCACCTTCGTATTGAGGCCAATAGTCCTCCTTTGCCACCACCTGAAAGCTGCATGTGTAAACATTGCATAGACTTAACACTTGGTGAACTACAAAAAGAAGGTTGGTTGGGTCCTGGCGCGCCTTCGAACATGCTGCTATGACATGAGAGCAAGGCATACGGATTGCTTGAAACTTTCCATAATCACACCAGCTCTTGTCCAACTCAACACGGTAACATCCCTTAGGCCTTCCTTCGTTGTGATCAATAGACTCGGCAACACTGAACCAACCAGCAGTACGGTCAAAGATTGTGACCACGTGTGTGTTGGCTTTGGTAGCTTCCTCTTTCATGAATTTCATTGAAGTATTGATATACAGCTGACTCGATTGTAATACCGAACCCTACTTCGTACGTCTGCTATCAAAGAGTGATCCTAGCCTAAAATAGGCTGCCTTTACCAAGGAAGTTATTGGGAGGTTTCAGATTCCCTTGAAAACAAAGTTTATTGACTCGACGAGGTTAGTTGTCATGTGACCCCATCGCACCCCATTGTCGTATTCCCGCGTCCATTTCTCCCTATCAATGCTATCAATCCATCTTAATGCATCCACGTTGTTCAGTCTGATCTCGTCACAGTAGTATTTGAATGTGGGTTCAGTTAGTGCATATCCCGCGTTCACAACCTTCTTCTGCAGCGTCTTGTCTTTGATTTCCCGCATGAAACTTTGGGTAATATGCCTTATGCAATAGACGTGGGTCAAGGGAGGATCCTGCCAACCGTTGTCATGGTTGTTGTATGCACTCTTAATGGATGGGTTTTGATCGGAGATCAAACATAAGTTAGATTGGGGAGACACGTAAGAGCGGAGGTTTTTAAAGAAAAAACTCCAACCCCA